TGCCTATCCGCTTTCCCTCCCAATTCAATCAACTTTTTTTTTTTACATGGAATTTAGAGTATAGTCTTTTATTTGAAAAATAAAGTTTGAGGGTCTCTCTTATTCACGTCTGATACACTATTTTAAAAAATATATGAATTTAATTTACCTTTATAAAACCAGCTTGATATAAATTATTCCTCACTTACATATTATATATTGATAATATTACTGATTAGTGTATGATTTCTTATGCACTTTCATTGCACTAAAATTTGTAAGATTAAATATATTTAAATATTTTTTTAGTTAAATAACATGATAAACTCAAAATAATTAATTATTATTAGAATAAGTTCTGATATTAGAAAATAAATTTAAATTTTTAAATTTTACAAATTGACTTGTAAAAGTATTTTTAATAGTTATTCTTGTAAATAATTTATTAAAATTCTTATTTTACTCTAAATGAAATTTATTATGTCACAACATTTTTAAGCAATTTATATTATATTTTTTTTATAAAATTTGTTCCAGTGATAGAATTTTATAAGTAACTCATATTTTTATAATTTTTTTTACTTACACTTTATATTTTAACAACTTAAAAAAATTAATGTGATTATTATAATTAAATATTAATTTAGTTAAACATGATAAATAATACTTTAACGTATAAAAAACAATAATAAAATTTACAAAATTAATTTAATGCATATAAAAAATTAAATATTAAAAATAAAGAAATCACATAAATACGATAAATATATAATAATGATGCACAACTAATTTTTTATTCATGAATAATGAAAGGTTGATGATGTATAACAATTTTTTTATTTATTTATGAGAATGATTTATATTCTAAATAGTGTTATTTATTTAAAAATTATTATTTATTTTTAAGTCATTTTTTTATGTTATGTTATCACATTCTTATAAAAGTTGCTAATAAATATCGTTATTTATTAATAAGATACATCACTAATACTTTTTATTAGAGATATTCTAAGAAGAAGAAAAAAATTCTATATTATGTGCTTTAATTTCACTTATATCACATGTGATATCTTTAACATTTTCCTCTAACTTATATATTAACTTATATAAAAAGTGTTCAAATCTTTAAGATCTTAATTTTGTAAATAAGGTTAATAAGAAGAAATTATATTCATCCTTACCCTCTTTTCACTAGTTTAACTTAAATTGGATACTGTAAATAAATAAAATGTAAATTTACTTACAAACATAATATTTATGAACGTAATTTCAAAGTGAGTTCAATTTTAAATTTTTTAAAGAAAAAATTGAAGTGTTTGAATTATGATGAAGATAAAGTAATTAATTAGCAACTTAAACAAGTGTAAAAAAAAATACAGTGATAGAATAAAATGAATAAGATAGATAGATATGTACCGTACCGTGAGGTTCGGGTAGGGACCACTATAGTGTCATACCGCTTACATGTAGGGCGTTTACGTAGCCATCTTATTTCATATTTCATATACACAACATTTTTCAGATTCCCCAAACTACCCCTCACTTATTCCTATTTTTTCTGCTTATCTATAGAATCAAAACTCATCAAATAAACGCCAAATATATATTACTTTCTATATAAATTATTCAAATTATTTTTATTTTATATGAATTAAATGTATTCTCCTGAAGAAAATCATATTCGGTGGTTAATGTAGAATTATAGACAGCAAAATTTGTTATTTAAATATTTAATATACTTATATATTCAAATTTAAATTTAAGATTATTATTGGTTAAGTTTAAATAATCTCACATTAATCGTTATAAACACTCTGTATTTAATTTATTGTACATATAAAAAAAATATAACTTAAGTTCATGCGAAGTAATATAATAAATTATGGAAAATAAGATTATTATTTTTTAATGTTCATAGTATGTTACGCTGAAATTATTGTTATAAGAAAAAAAGGTCAATGTAAAGTAAATTTGTTTTCAAAATAGATAACCAAGGATAAATTTATTTTTGATGTAATGGAATTAAAATTATAGTACATTAACAATATATTATTTGTTACTTATTTTAGAAATATTTTTACTCAAAAAATTTCGCCGCTTATTATAAGTAGTTCGGTGGTCCACAGCAGAAACTCTTAACTCCACGTGAAGTTTTTAATTTTTCTTTTTTCATAGAGGATCGCATTATTTACCAAAAATAAATAAATAAATAAATTAGGGGACGGGATCTCACTTTTCTCAATAATTGATAATTGATTCAAACCCTACAGCAAGAGACCGTTATTATCTGACCGCAAAAACTAAACTGTTATAGGGATTCGACCGATTCTCCCCTTAAAAATAAGTTAATCAAACCTTTTTTTTATATTTATAATTTTATAAACTTTAATTATAAGACATGAAAAGTTAAAATCGTAAATTATAAAAATCAAAGGAGAAATTAAAAAATTAGTGCTACATTTACTACTTAATTATCCGTGATTAATAAAATTAGATTATAAATTATAAACTAAGAGTTGAAAATCTTGAAATTTACATATTAACTAATTGAATTAAAAGTGATAGGTGAAATTAGTTAATAATAAATATTTATTTGATAATGAAAATAAGAGAATAACATATAAGAAAAATAGTTTATAAACAAATAGAATAGAAATTATTACAAGCAAGTCAATGAGATTAAGAAAGGAAAGAAAAAAAATTAAGAATTTATAAATTGTAAACTACTTCAATTAATTAGGGATGTAAACGTGTTAGGTTGCGCCAGATTTGGATGAATCCGTTACTCGACCCAATCCAAATTTAACGGGTTGGATTAGGTCGAATTTGTATAACTTATTTTTAAACTTAATTCAACCCAATCTGATTACGAGTAGATTGGGTTGGATTAGATTAATTAGGTCAATATAATTAAATTTAATTTATTATAAAAAATTTAAATATTTCAAAATATATGTAAATTATTTGATAGATTACTCCAAATATAATATTATCAACATATAAAATAAATAATGATACAAATTAAATTCTAAAAAAATTATTAATTTGTTATATTATTATCAACTCAAAAAATTAACATTTATTAATACAAATAAATTTTAAAATAAATATATCATATTGTTATAATGCTATCAATCTAAAATACAAAACTCATTACTAAAGTAAAAGTGAAAATAAATATTGTTATAAACAAATAATTATTTAAATATTATTATTATTATTATTATTATTATTATAACCAGGTCGGATTGGGTAACAAATTAAAAATATTAAAAAAATCCGATTCAAATTCATTGAGTGGGTTTGGATCAGTTTAAGATTCATGAGTTGTCTATACCCACTCCTACAATTAACTTATAGAAATAAGTTATAAATTTTTAAAATAAATTTCTATACCAAATAAGTTTATTTCAATCAAAATAACTTATAAATTGACAAAACTTTTAAAATATCTTATCAAACACATTCTTAAAGTAATTTATATTTAAAATTTTAAATTTGAAATACAAAAAATCTTAATAAAGTATATCTGCTTGTAAGTAAATATTATGCAAAAAAAAAAAAAATTATCTTTTACAGATTTTAGTGGGATTACATGAATTTTATCCGTTCAATTCTATTTTTTTGACTGAATCCGTTAAATTTATTGGTTATATGAAAATTTAATATTTACATTTCATTAAATTTAATTATTAGATATGAAATTAATAATTATATAAAAATATCATAAGTAAATATTTTGTTTGCTGAAAATTGCTGTATTTTTTATTATATAGAAAAATATTGTATGTAACATACAAATTAAAATACTATGTTATATAAAATTAAAAATGTTAGTAAATTCAAATTATATGAATTGTGTTAATTTGATTTTTTTACTACTCATATAGGGAAACATGTATGATCAAAATTTTAAATTATATGAACATTTAAAATATTCGTGTTTTTTTTAAACCTTCCAAATAATCATTTAAAAAAATACATGATTCGCGTGTTTTAATTTTGATCATTATGATAAAACTTAATGATTAATATTTATTCTTCTTGAATAAAAAAATCACATAAATATATTAATGTATGAGACATGTATCATAAAAGTGACATTTTTAATGAGATTGAGAAATAGAATAATAAATATAGTTTTTACATAAAATAATTCTCATTAATACATTCATGTATGAGTCATATATTGTAATATATATATATATATGAAAAAGAATAATAAATATAGAATTATGAGTTATATGATCATATATAGAGAATTTTCTTTTTAAGTATAATGGTCATACTAAGATTATAACCTATTATATTATATATACTAAATCAACCTCATAGGTCAATCCTAAACGTTCATAGATGATAAATATATAATGGTAAATAATAAGTTTTTTGAGTAAAATATATTGGTATAAAATATCTATCAATTTATTGATAACTAATTTCTATCAAGGGACTT